ATGGTAGAGAGAGGAAGATCTGGGCTACAAAATGAGGTATTTTTGAACTAATTATCTCCTAAGCTTAATTAACCAGCAATTGTACATTAAAACTCCATGTATTTGAATGGAGTGCCTCTATTTACCCAAAGCGTATAAGTGAAGTGCCTCTAATTACCCCGTACGGGATAATTAGAGGCACTTTGATGGAGCTCTTCGCATTCTGGATCTGGCTCAAAATTGGCCGGAGTTTTTGAAAAGATTTTTACATGAGCGTGTAGAAAAATGTTTGGTCTACCATCATGTTCAATAGCAACTTTTTCCGATCAAAAACGGCCAGGAAATAGCAAAAAAAGGACGAAAATTTCGAAGAGTGCCTCTAATTACCCCGAAGTACTCTAGATAATATGACTTTGTCTTTGAAAACAAATTGAAAGAATAAAAAAAAAATAGAACTTACATTTCAAATAAAATTGTCGCTCTTTCTTTCTTTTAAAAAAACTACTAAGCAGACATGCATAGTGTCTTCCTGATGAAAAATGAACTAATACGCACAACTTTGTGGAACCGGCAAAAACCGGCCGGTCCAACTAACTCAATCTGTCCGGACTGATTACAACTCTGCAGTAGAGTGACTATATGCCTAGAATGTGAATTAGAAGACAACCCAGGCGAAAGTTTTGGGTAAAAAAAACGCGTTAAGCGGGGCAATTCTTGCACCAATTGATGCATCAAAACGCGTTGTCCTCTAACGCGTTTCTTTGCTTCAGATAGTCATGCGCTAAAACGCGCTAAGAATGAACGCGTTTTGATGCATCAATTGGTGCAAGAACTGCCCCGTTTAACGCGTTTAAACGCACGCCTATTGCAAGCTGGGCCTTTCAGGAAGCACGTTCAGTTAGATTCTTATTTTCTTGAAAATCTGATCTGTTTAAGACATATCTTAAGCATTCTGGTTTGAATCTTAACTGAAACACCGCCGTATTTGGCAGGAAAATATATTTATATACAACACCATTTCTCAGTGTAAAATCAAAGTCATCTTTATCATTATAAATCACAATCTTGTTTATGCTAGCAAGAATTAAATGATTTACCCTAGTGGTAAATTCTTATAAAGGATACTGACAAGTGTTTTGCTAGATTCCCTTAAAGTTGATATTGTAAACAGATAAGATTCTTACCAGAATCTTCCAAAAGTCTTATATAAGAAAGGCACACGAGACGGCCACTTTTTTCGTAAGACTCCTATAAGCATTGCATAAGCTTCAGATAAATAACTGATAAAAGTCCGATAAGATTATTTCAAAATGTCGTGTGTCACTGTGATCAAAATCCTGTTGGTTTCTTGTCGTGTGCGTGCAGGGTTCATATCGTCTTGGAACAATACTGGAAAAAAGCCAGTACGCACAGCATGGTATATTGTACTGATACTGGCTGGCACCGATACGCACTAGCTAGTACCACATTATTTCCAGTCACCGTTTTGTTATCTGCGATTGATTCCACTATGTTATACTCGGACTTTTCTTCAAGAACATGGAGCAATCAAATTTTAATGCGTCCGCCGAGAAGACAATGCTTTTGTTTGCTTATTTTTGGCAAAAGTATTTTTCAAAAAATCCGAAAATTAGGGCCACCCGTATGGGAAAAAACTCTAAACAAATTTTTTGCTAAATAGATCACAGTTTAACTTAGAAGAATTAACTCGCATTTGATTGAAATACACTTCAAATTTGCGCTGAACATTTGTAAATCTAGACCATCTATAATACGGATAAAAATACTCATGCAGCTTTACGCGAAAAACAAGCCATGTTAGCAATTTGACGTAAATTAATAGGTAACTCATTTTATTGTCTTATCACCTACGGAAAAACGTATTTTTATATTTTTCTGTCCTAGTAATAAACGTATATAGATTTCCCGCTATTCAAGATCTTAGAGATTTAGAAATAGTTGGATGATTTGATATTCTTCAAGATAGAAAAGTTGGTGTAAGCCCTTTCTTTATTTTGAACAATAAAAGAATTTTGTTCATAATAAATAAATGCTCAATAGGAGTCTATCCCAAAATTTTTAGTACTTTCTCTCTTGATGTCAAATGCATAGCTCCACTTACAATCAAAGCAACTTTATACTGTATGTCATATGTAGGTTTTAAACCTGGTAAATGCCAGTAAATGCCAACATCGAGTCGATTGCACAACTTCAATCGTTGTACAGAATATAGACACAGAACAGTGAATTTAGTTTTGTAGTAGTTTACTACAAAGCTAAGCTCACATGTTCGAATCTCTATTCATACAAAATTGATTCTGTGTTTTTCGATAGTTTTAGTTTAGAATACTATAATGGAATATTTTCCGCTTGTATTCTGACAGAATAAAGCTTATACCAATAAAATTAGTTGTTGTGTGTACTTCTTTTAAGCAAGCATACACCACATTAGCATAGGTTATTAATGGCATATGATTTAATGTGCCGATCAAGAGTTGACGTGTTTAACAAGTCTTTATTTCGGTGCATTGGGTAAAGAATAAAATTATACTTTTTACATATTCCCTTTAGACGCAATGACCAGTCTAGAAATTTTGTTAGATGTACTCCTAGATGTTTATGACTGTCAACAAATCTTAAAGTAGAAGGAAACATTAAGGAGTAGCTTAGCCAGTTAAGTTAGTTTAAGTAATAGTAACATAGCAACACATTTTTTTGGAACTCGGACCATGTATGAATTCTGTCCAAGTCAGCATTAAGAATATTTGTTATTAAAGTGATATTGTTACTGCTATGATACAATGACGTATCATCGGCAAAAAGTCTTCGTTTTGATTACGCATTCAAACAGATATCATCTATGAATAGAAGGAATAGCAGAGGTCCGAGAATGGATCCCTGTGGTACTCCTCTATTAGTCGACCATGGTCTAGATCTTTGTCCGTTAACAACAGTAACACATGGTCTGTGAGTCAAGTAGCTCGTAAACCACTTTAATACGTCATTCGACATTCCTTTTACCTTCAGTTTATCCAGAAGTCCGGGATGCCACACTTTGTCAAGGACCTTCAAGAAGTCAAGAAACGCAACAAGAGTAAAATTATTATTATCTAAGTTTTCACTTATTCCATGTACTAAGTCTACAATCTGATTTACTGTTGAATTCCCTTACATGAAACCTGACTGAAAAAGAGTTAGCAATGATTTTTTTTCGTGCCCATATAACTTGTTGAAAAAAAGGTCTTACAGAAAGCAAACTAAATGGTCTATAATTTGTTGGGTGACTGTTATCTATGTCTTTAAAAGGAGGATATCTGAGTCCGACTTTCAATACAATACCATATTCGGGATCAAAAGTTGAGTCGACTAATCTGTATTTCGAAATTTTTAGTTCACCTTCATTTTTTCGTGAAAATCTCAATAATTTTTTAGCGTGAAAATTCGAAAAAAATCAGATTAGTTGGATAGGATATAAATACAGATTAGTCGACTCAGTTTTTGATCCGAATATGACATTTGTATTGCATAAAAGTTGACTTCCGATGGAGGAAATTGAGAATTACGAGCGGAATTCTGACGTTTTCGCCTCTGATTTACAAAATATGAATTTTCTCAGCAACGGAAGGAATTTAAAAAAGAGTGATGCATTCTTTTATTGTATACGTTAAGACGAATTGAACGTGATATAAATCAAGTTTACATCTCTCAACAGAAAAAACTAGATAGATTCCCAAATTTGTTCACGCGCTTTAGACCCTCTCTAAACATGAGATTCCGTGTTGGACACGTTATACGTCACCAGCCTCCAAATAATATTTCTAGACACAGTTTCTCAAGCTGAATTGAAAAATATATGTTACTTTCGAAAATGAACAAGGAGAATTTTTTTGATATATTTCACAGCCTAACGGTTTTCTGAAAATCTAGCTCTATGGAACCATGTATAATATAGCCGAAAATAAACTTCGAATTTGGTGAGCCTTACTTAAACTCTGTTTTAATAATGAATACTTGATATTCCATGTTAAAGGTTGTGAATGCTAACCGTGTTATGTTTTCAACAACTTATAGATTCTAATAATCAAATGGATTCTGCGATACCAATAAAGAACTATTGCGATACACTTAAGCAACAAGGTCAAACCATCTCAATAACACAATTAAAATTGTTGTTTGGTACTATTGTTGATGATTTAAATAAAAATAACCGCCTATGTATAAATCAAGTAATATCTACAATAGATAATAATGTTGATGTGTCAAAATTAGCTGATGGAACATTAGTGAATCATGAACTTATTTTATTAATTCGTGATACATTCATATCACTTTTAAACAGTAATGAAGACAATAACAATAATGTTTTAGAACAAACAAGTAATTTATTTTCAATTATAATAGAAAATGGGGTGATACAAATGTAGAGATGATTAAAATATTGTTTTTAAATACATCATTTATTGAAACAATCAAAATAGCTCTCGTTACTATAGCTACAAATGGTGCGCAACATAATATCTTATTAACACTAGAGAAATTGATAGATGGATTAAAAATATCGCAAATTAAACAAATAGACTTACAAGATGATGACGTGTTATTACAATTAATTGAACCAATTTTGAATATTACTGACTCTATTCATTATGTAAGTACGTTTAATCAACTTCAAACAGCAATAACTACAGAATCCGTATCCACATTAACTATTGAACAAAACTTTTTTTAATTACATGTCCAGATTATCTAACATATTATGATGGAAAACGTTTAGAAGACATACAGTGTAATATTGCACAAACCATGTTAAAGCGTTTTTTGGATATATTTAAACAATTTATACCATCGGTCTCTCATTGGAATTCACCAATATTTAAGCTATGAGATATGTTTGTTGTATATTACAGTACATATCATTCAATGATCAAATACGTCGTGATTATTGTATCCAACATTCGCTATTACTTGATTATATCATAAACATATTAACTTGTAAAACATTTGTAAATGAAATGATAGTGAAAACATTTAGTAATAATGTTATTACCCCATTAATGGTTTATGCTCTTGTCTATTTATACGGTCTCACATTCGATGTGACACTTTTAACACTTATTAAAGACAAACAATTGACAATGGATATTTTAAATTCAGCATTGACAAATTGTAAAAGTATACAATTCGATGCTTATCGAACATTAGCAATGATAATGAATGAAAATGATGTCAAAACACTATCAAATTCAGCAGAAATAATAAAATTATTTATTAACTATATTAAATTATATATTGACAATTTATTGCGAGAAAAGTGTTACAAAATACATTATTAAGCTTGAAAAGAAAGTATCGTTACTGTGACTGTCCACCATACAATTGTGTGCCCAATTTTTACTAATAATACAGGTCTTGTTCAACACAAACAGATCAAAGATGAACTTGCTAAACATCCAGATGGTATACCACTATTAGTTCGATGTGTATGTCGAGCGAGTACAACAACGTGTATTAGAAATCTTATGGTCAATGACATTCAATGAAAAAGCTGCAAATATATTGACAAATGATCAACATTTCATGAAACATGTTAAATTACTATCAACAACGTCGAAAGGTGTACAAAAAACAGCTGAAGGTATTATATGGAAATTGGAGAAAAAAGATGAACATCATTCTACACAATCATTACCGAATAAATATAAATATGATGTTATGATAAATTATTCACATACTGATAAAAACTTATGTTATCAAATACACGAACGATTGGTTAACGATAAATTTTGTGTATTGTTTGACCGAGATCATTGTTATGGTTCACATATGCAAGAAATGGCAAATGCAATTGAAAATGCCGAATTTGTTTTAGTATGTATGTCGGATAGTTATAAACAAAGTGCATACTGTCAATCAGAAGCACATTATGCTTATGAAAGACAATGTCGACTAATACCATTGATTGTTAGAGAAAAATATCGCCCTGATGGATGGTTAGGATTTATTATAAGCGGAAAAATCTATATTGACTTTCCAGAATTCAGTCAGTTTGATGAAGCCTATCAAAAGTTATTATCGGAAATTAATTATCATCGAAAAAATCAAAGTCAGACAACTAAACATCAACCAATAACTCATTATACATCAATAACACCACAGGAGTCTTCAAAGTAAGAGATAATTTCTGTTTCTTCTAATAATCTGTTCTTCTATTATTCTAGCAGTGATAGGCAATCAATAAAATTCGCGTATTGCGTTAAGGGGGGGTCCCCCCATTTAGATTTTTCTCTAGCGTTTCCAGTTTGTAGAGGACACTTCGAAGTATATGTCCTGAAGTTTTTTCGGCTTACTGACGTTATTTGGCTGAGAAAAAAATTAATTACTTAAAAAAATGTTGTTAAATTTTTGAGCACGGGGTTATTATTAAAAAAATTTCTGTCTATCCTCCATTCATCACAAAGGCTTGGTTCTTGCCTAGATCGATAGAGAAATGTGTGAAGAATATTTACTACGAGAAAATATGTAAACATTTTTGTTCTTTTTTTCCGGTTATTGACTAATTAGTACTAATTTAAAACAAATAAGCCCATTTTATGCCTATATTCCAAAAACCTGGTTAAGCTGGTCATCATGAAAGAGCTGAAAAATCGACTTATTTTGCGCCAGACGGATTCAACTGAAATTTTGGGCAATGAACAACGACTATTAGTTAAATATTTTCTCTAAGTTTCATCAATGCGTCTCAACAGTTGCAAAGCTAATTATTTTTATAGAAGACGCTAAGTGAGTAGCGTTTATTCTCGTTGAACGTAGCATCATCAAACGGAAACAAATGTGTCAGGGAAAAAGCATTATTTGGCACGATTCTTGATGATTTAAAGCATATTTATGGAGTTTGCTAGCTTCTTTCAGTAAACTTTCAGCAACTAAAATCCTCGTTTGCTGCTTGGTTACGCATGAGAAAAAACCTAGATGGCGACTCTAGAGCCTATATAAGCAAGAAAGCAGAAAATGTCAACTATAGAGATCAGCCTCACCCTTTAATCACACTGTGCTTCATTCTTCTTTCTCAACAGACTATGGAACAAAATAAGAAAAGAACATTCCTCTATTTACCAATTCTTCTTCTACTATAGAAGATTTCACCGTCATTACAAAATTAGGTACTTATGCCGCACCGCGCCGAATTACGTAAAGACTGGGCGCTAGGTGCAAAATTTTTCGATGAATCGGACAGTGCGTTCCTTTTAATTCTATTCATAGCAAAACAGGCAAGGGGGTAAAAGCACCACTTCATTTCACTTCACTTCATCTAGGTAAAACGCTGCTGAAACGGTCGAAACAATAAAAAATCACTTCAAGTTAAGCGGAAGTGGTGAAATGGTACTTTCCCTCCTTTGCTTCCCTCCCCCATCAGGGGCGCCGTTTCAGCACTGAAGTGAAGTGAAGTGAAATGAAGTGGTGAAGTGGTGCTTTTACCCTCTTGAAAACAGGTCACTTTTCCTGGGGCTGGTTTACAAGAAAACGGAATGCATCAATCGATGGGGAATTTAACGAGGATCCCAGATATGCTACCCCTTTTCCTGGACAACTCTTAGTTTTTACAACAGAAAAGAAGTCAAAGTTTGACTTCTTTTCTGTTGTCGACATAATCTGGTCGAGTTTTTTGCCTAAATTTTATTTTCTCATTGGCGCCTTTTTCTCAACCCAAATTATTCATTTAATAAGCTATCAATAACATATCTAAAGCAAAAAAGGAACATCTCTTTTACAGGTCGTTCAACTGACATACTATCGAGGCCTTTTTAAAATACAATATTTTTATTAATATTTTTTAATAATTAAGGAAGAAACTACAGTATCATGTCTTTTTTTCTTTATAAACGTAAAGGTTTTAGGTAAAATGAACTTAAAGATCTAAAAATTAGGATACAACAGAAGAATTTCAATTTAATAATCTTGCAAGCAATCGACAACATTTTTATTTATAATATCTTTAAATCCTTAGTCAAAATTTAAATTCTAATTTATTTTATTTTGTATAATTTCGGTTCCTTTGATTGTATTGTGGATACATACATCGGCATATATATAAATTTTACTTCGATTTTACTGCTCATGGGACAAGAAAAAGTTACAATATCATTGTTTCTGTATGTAGATATACAGAGGGCAATCCAGGAATAGTGGCGGAGGTATTTTATTTTCGTATAGCAAGCTTGAGGAAACTTTCTCTTTATATACAGTGACAGTGGAAACAATGCTCTATTTTTCTGTGATATTGATGAAAAAGTTAATTGTAGTTTATTTATAACTATATTTAAAATTTGATAACTAACCAAATTATCTAGATTTTCACCAAAAAATGAAAATCAAGCAAAAATTTGGAAAGCGCATCAGTCTGCTCGATTTTGATCCTGATTCCGAATATGATATTTTTACTGCATAAACATGAGCGAGTCAATAATAGTCGTGATATAGTTATACCAATTGAGCTCGACAATTTATTATCACAAGCGACAATGAAGCCGATTCGACAAGAGAAAACAAAAATAACGTACGATCATATAATTAATGCATCGTCCACAATCATGGGAGATAATGAGAATGATTTTTATATGAAAAAAATCAATCAATTATCCACGAAAGTGAATCAACAAGCCCAACTGATTAAGGAACGAGATGCTGAAATTAAACGATTGAAATCAACTTCCATTGGTGAGTGTCTTAGTGGTTCATTCCTTAAGCTTTGTGCGAGTTTTTTTCTTCAGGAATGCTTACTGATGAAGCTGCTCGAGAGTATATCTTATTCTTTGCCGATCAAGTTCGACAACAGACAACAGCATACAAGTTCAATGGAAATCTGGGAGCCGATACCAAACGTCTGGAGTTAAGTCTTGAACAAATTAATGAAGTGTTGAATGGAAAAGGTAGAATTACGAGCATTGCTCGAGAACTATTCAAGAAAATTGTTCCAGAAGATCGGAGACAGGTTGATCACTGGAACAAATTGCCGATCGAGATTTTATTAATAGAAAAAATGCTGATTGATATGACACAATACTTTTGCTGCTGAGCCTTACTATATAGTATATCTTTGTTATGTATCTAGAATTTATAGAACGATATTTTGGCCAAGTCACTCCGAAAAAAGTTCATACAAGTCTTGTCGGATGTCTTCGAAATCAACGCGGCACACAAAAAAAGCAGCAACAACAAGGCGGTGCACATGATGGCGATGAAAAAGATTCTGATGGTGTTAAACAGATAGATAATGCTATTGAAGATGATAATAGTCATGGATTTTAATCAAGTGCAGGAAAGAAACAGTCAAAACAACCTGATGATGAAAAAAAATAACGGTCGTTGTTTATATGTTATTTTTATTGATTGTTTTCTTTATTTACTTGTGTGTTAACTCTATATAATATATATATGTTTATTTATTTCGAACAGAAGATAAAATTAGAATAAAGTGAAATTCGAACTGCATCAGCTGCAGACCATTGAAAAATATTTTATGTTGTAAAAATAAATCTGGTTTTGGTTCTCTTCTCACAGAAAAAATTCCGAATGACATCGAGGTGTCATTTCGGAAACGGCAATACCACAAACCGCGTTTTATATCTATGTTTCAAACCGCAGTTTGATTTATAGTATTATACTTAAAAAATATATTGATAATGATTTTTTGCTATTGAATATTCAGATGAGACCCAACACAACTTCCGTACAAAAAAAAGAAACATAAACTACTAAGAAGAAGAATCATACACATTGGTCAGCTCATAAACACGAAATATTAACGAAGAGGACAGACCAAAAGCTCAAAGTGAAATGATTACAAACATCAACTTTCGACAAAGTTGAATCAAATGACAATAATGTATCTGACGAATTCAACTGTCTATCAATAGATGAAAAGCCAAACCTAGTAGCTACTGAACTAATTGATGACACCGATTCTGATATTGATTTTTACGAATAAATATGTTGCCGATCTTGGTGAAGAAGACGTTATCGGTGAAGATCCTGATCAAAATGAAATTGAAGGAGAAAAATATGACGAAGAAGAAATAACTGAAGAAATTTTGAGTAACAAGTCAAATTTGGCAGCGAATTGATCGATTCGTCAACATCGACTATACCAATCAGAGACTACGATGCGACAGTAAGTAATAAAAGTATAATGTGTAACTCTCTGCTGTTGTTTTTTCAACAAATTTACTATAGATATTGGCACTATTCTCTTTTGTTTATTTTATCTTTTTAAAGGATATCTCAGTGGTATTATTAATGATTAAAAAGAAACATAAGTGTACAAATAGTCTCGTGATTTATTAATAGAGATTGTTAAGAATATTAAAAAGTACCAAATGTTCCTTCATCTTGGTACAAATTAAAACAGCTCATTGGAAGAACAGATGAAAAATTCAAGAAAAGCAACAAGTGATTGAATCATTTTTATATTTTTGTCCTGAATGTGGACAACAATCATATAATCAGGACAAATGCACATATCCGGATTGTTCCTATAGTACAAACACGTTGGTACCACCACATACATGTATGGTGATGAATATTAAACAGCAAATCGAACAAGTTTTAAAATCAACTGATCGAAATGATTTGAATTTCCCGACAACAGGAACAACGGAATCACTGACATCAATGACAGACATTCAACATGGACATTTATAGCATGTATAAACGAATTGAAACGATCGATATGATACAGAACTGAAAATATTATCAGTAAGACACATCCCTTAAACATTTATTCATTGTACTTCTATTTCGTAATTATTAGTTCTCGCAGTTAGCGTTGGTTGGAAGAAATCATTGAGAATAATCATGCAAAAAAATGTTGTCTCCAATCGTTGCACGCTTGAAAGCATTGCAAAAATCAACTTTATATTGCATATCAACTAGCACATTTGAAATATTAAGGGGGGGGGGGGGCCCATTTTTTTTTTTTGGGTGGGTTTTCCGTTTTTTTGGGCACCGTGGGATTTTTTTGGCGTGATTTTTTTTGGGGTTAGGGCGT